ACCGCACCTCCTAAAATTGTAATGAAATTAAACAGCAGGCAAATTTAAATATGCAGGGTAGGATGGACGATTATATACCGCACCACCTAAAATTGCAGTAAAATTAGATCTGTAGTCCAAGATAGGCGATGATACTGCACCATCTTGGATCGTAGTAAGATTAAATTTGCAGTTCAAGATCGGCGATTGTACAACACCATCTTGGATTGCAGTAAAATCAACATAAATAAATACTGGGTTAGTAATAAAGATCTACACCAAACAAGATATCAAAGATATATATAACTGTTAGGTTGAGAACTAGAAGCAGGCATGAAGCAAACAGTTTGTCGCAAGGGTATATCGTGCAGTTGAGGCAGAGGAAGAAGATGAACAGTAAAAACCTTAGAGGAAACATTTTTTCCTTTCTTTCGTTTGGCGAAGAGAAATGAGAAAATGGTTAGGTTTTAGAGACTTGTGCTGATAATGTGTTATAAATATGTAAAAGTTAGAGAGATAACATTTACTAGTGACAGGAACGAAGTAGGTGTAAAATATCACACTGAAGTTATAGCACAAAATGATGACAAATAAAAGAGACAGGAATAGATGATGTTATTGATCTTTTATTCGTTCTGTATATCACACTGTCTTTTAACAGCAATCAGAGCGCTCTATTTATAGAGCAACTTCGTATATTACAATTTGAAATTTACAATACATCTTTTGAAAAACAATCTCCTTCATTTCCAAAGTCCACATCTCAACACTGCAAATGTTGAAAATCCAATCCGTGTGTTTTCAATATCATTATGGGCATTCACTAACCCACCAGCATTTTCAACATTTAAACAAAATCAATTTATTTTAAATTAAATAATATATCATTAAAATAAATAAGTACATTAATCAACACTTAATTGATAATTCAATTACTACCCTTCTTATGTGAAATGACACCAAAATATTTTTAAAAAGCGAAAGTTGGCTCTTATTTAGACCTGGCATTCATGTCGTATTTTCCGTGTTCGTATCGTTTTCGTGTCATACCCGATATCTTAACGGGTCGTGTCGTGTAACACCCGTTAAAATAAACGGGTAAAATGACCTGACCCGATAATATTAACGGGCAATGTGATCCGACCCGTTACCCGTTAAGGAAAATATATTTTAAACCAATAAATAATCAAATGAAAAACATAATACTTTTTTTTAGTGAAAAAAAGGTCGCACGCCTAGTGGGACTCTCGAACCCACAATTGCTTGATTAGAACCAAAACACAAATCAATTTTCTAACCGTGCAAGAATGGTGCATGCCACCGACGAAGACTACTCTTGCTATGTGCCATGCCTATAGGCACTAACAATAAAGGAGATCAGACGAGACTATATGCAAGGGAAGGGATCCCACCTTATTGCGAGTGTGATGCCATACACAATGGACATAACCTAGACTTTCTCACATCAACTAGAGTCAATTTGTGTACACCAATTTAATTCACACCCATACCCCTACTTCCAAAAATTCGTGTTCTGATGTCAAACATTAAGCAGTTGGCATCATCATGTTGAAATTGCAGACTTAAAATTTTTTCAAGGCATCAACTACTACTAACTTAAATGAATTTCAATAACCATTTATTTTCAGAAAAATGATAGAAGTGAAGATAGAAAATAAACAAGAAGAAGAAAAAAAGTGGGTAAGATTCATTCAGATATAGCAGTGGCAAGACATCACATTGATCTGGTGCCCAATATCTTATAAAATGTAAAAGGAATATATAGCGAACTAGCATATGAGTTTTCAACTATGATCAAATTTTTTCTCTTTCAGAAACATGGAATAACTGAGCTTTTAAGAACAGCAATTTGCTAGTTCCTTTCGATAATAATTATTAATTATAGAGGGAGATTGTCATATAGAGACAATGACATGATTCAGAAGCACACTTGGGTTATGGAATGACACTATTAAATGACTATTACACAACTTTAGATCTCAAAGCTCACAATGTAATTATGCAATGCAGAGTATCTCAGGGAGCAATAAATAGGTTCCACATCAAATTCACCGATGCATATTTCAAATGATAAGAAATTCTATCTGATAAAATTGAGACTGAACATTCAGGAAATTCTACCTCAAGCAGTCTACAATAAACTGGCACACAACAGGATGGTTGCAATTGAATGTGTTACCGCATCCCGGATAATTATGGAACTCTTCCTGTTAAAAAAAAGGGACAATAGATTGAGTTCACAACGTATGAATGAAGAGACGTCAAATAAAAAAAGATGGCACGAGAAAAATGTCACAGAATTCTTCAGTTTACGACACAAACGGGACTCTAGGTCTGGGGCATGCAACGCAAACCTGACCTTGTTATGGTTTTCAAATTCAATACTGCATATAAGGTAAATGTTTAAAGATCAATATCCATAGGCAAACAAAATATAACAACACTATAATGTTCTGCTGCTTCATTTCAGATTGACCACATAACAGCTATGTAATTCATGAAAAATGTACTCATAGAAAGAAGAAATCTTTGGAATGAAAAACCAAATAAGGGGATAAGTATGATACTGATAAAACTAAACGAGCTACTATGCATAAAGAGGTCCCAAATTGGTCCAACACAAGACTGTGAGACTGGTAAAACACTTGTGTTTTAAACAAATTTACATCAAGCAGTAGGGTGCACATCATTCCCTTAAGAAAAACTTAGAATAGATATCTCTCTTTTTTCCTTCAGTTTGTGCTGTTTTTTATTCTGTATAAAAGAAATATAAACTAAATTTTATTAAATATGAAGAAATTTAAAAAGATTGTAAACTTTCTTTCCTTTGTGTTGAATAAGGTTGATACTTGATAGACATACATAGAGGACAAAACCTAGCTGCTCTACTACCAAAGATTGTCAGATGTTAAATCATTGCATGTTGGAACTAATCAAAGATTGTCAGATTTTAAAAACAAAACATGGGTTTCAAGAAATGAAAATTCATAATTTCGAATGACAAATAAGAAACAAAAACATATGATTTATGAAGATACAACATTAAACAAATGAAAAGAACAGAGATGTAGAGATGTAGAAACAAAATCGAACTTGGAGTGGAATCTAGAGAATGCAGAGATGTAGAGACGACTAGAGCAGAGATGACAAGATCAAGAATGATTCCGTCCAGACGTCCACCGCACGAGGGAGGAGAAAAGTGATACTGAGAAAGGGGCTAGGAAGAACAAGCGGCAGGTCGGGATAGAGGGTTACGAGAGTGGGGAGATAGAAAGGGATTAGGGCTGGCCTTTGTTTTGAATCTTTTGATCAGATCAGATCGTAAATTGGAAAATACAAAGGGTTTTTTTGTCCCAAAAAGTTCTAATAATATAAATGAAATAGAATCCAACGGTATATATTTACTCTCATTTATCTTAGGGTTGTTATTTAAGTAAAGTCTTTAATAGTTTTTTAACTAATGTAGAAGTGTAAAAAATATATACATATATATATATATATATATATATATAAACGCTCGTAATGACAAGCTTTACAACTTTAGTTAAGAGCTTAACTTCAAAATTCGCCACTATAATCATATAAATCATAGATCAAAATTTAATCGTTGATTGTTGTTTACATTTACGCTTCATTTTTCTCATCAAATTTTGTTTTTTCAGATTTTGTTGTTTGAAAACATGATCTATTAGAGGATGTAAGAAGATGAACGGTTTGGATTGTTGATATTATGTTTAGAGTTTTACGATTAGTGAAAATATTGTTTGAGTGTTTATAAAGTTTCTACAAACTATATGACATCAACTCATATTTCAGTTAACCGTAACTATCGAAACGTGATATCAAAGATCTGAACCGTTCTTCTTCTTACATCCGCCAGATGATCATGTTTTCAAAAAAGAAAATTTTAAAAATGAAATTCAGTAACAAAAATAAAGCGTAAATGACAATTAACGGTTAAATATAAATTTAAAGTTTATGGATTATAGTGTTGGATTTCGAAGTTGACCCCTTCATGAAAGTTGTAAAGCTTGTCATTATGAGTGATTGTATATTTTTTTTTACATTTTTTACACTTGTACAATAATTATTATTAATTTTATTAATTTTGCCCTCAAATAAAAAACATTATTCATGAGGGTTTGGAGGATTTTAAAAATCTAAACGATAATGTAAGTGTAACCATTATCTACTCGTGGTGGAATAATGATGAATCACGAGTGTTTATATATTTTTTCACATTTTTCATACTTGTATTGTATGTATGTCTTCTTAGTTCTTGCCTATATAAATATTATACTACTTTATTTTAATTTTGGACAACATATTAAGTAAAATTTATTCTAGTAATGATAATAATGAACTCTCATGGTAAAAATAAATAATGACCAAAACTTTTTTTTTCAAACTTATATAGAATAATAATACAAAACTATATAATATATATTTAATATAGAATATATTTTATATATTAATATAGCTATTGTATTTTATAATAAATCTTTTAGTAATTAAACTTTAAAATTATCAAAATAATTTTTTTTCTTAATCGGTCGAAACAGGTTGTTACCGCGTGTATATCCGTTAAGAACCCGTTATTAACTGGTTCTTACCGTGTCACTGGATAATAATCCGATTAGTTATCGTGTTGATCCAAAATCCATTATTTTCATGTCGTGTCAGAAACTGCCAAGTCTACTCTTATTGATATATGAGGTATTGTTTTAGTATATTTTTATAATACTCATCGCAACAAATACGTGGGAGCTGACATACTTTTAACGAAGAGGATGAGCTTGTTTTAAGATTAAAGAAAACTAATGAAAATGGTTTAAAAACTTTGAGTTTTAATGATAAAGACAAAATAAAGAGCAAAGTGAATAGTATCATAATTGAGTGTAAAAAGATAATTTTTCGTTAAAGTAAACAGTATCATGAGCTTTTTGTTAAAATTTCCTTAATATTAATAAAAGAAAAACCAAAATGAAGCAGCTGCCCTGCTGGTACACTCCCGTGGCTGCTGCTTCTCTTCCTCTTCACTCCTTCTCCTCTTCTACATTTCAAAATATCAATTGACCATAACATTCTCATAAGGCAACGAAATCGTGTAAGGTCAGAGGCTTTGGATTCATCCCGATTCCCGAAGCCTCTTCGATTTGACAGCATACACGCACGTTGAACCAATCATACACACTCACAGATATCGAAACCTAGAAGTTTGGACGTTTTCCGACGGTTTTTCGCCGATTCCGGCCAATATCGCCGGAGTTGGGCCTCGACTCGAGAGGTAAAAACACTCCTCTCTTCACGGGCTTTCAGAATATGTAAGTAGATCTTCCTAATTCCAAGTTTCATTTTCGAACAAGTTTGAGATTCAAGTGTCTAACTCGAGTTTCCGGGGTTCTTGTCGAAGATTCGTGGTGGTTGAGTTGATCTTGAGCTTGGATAAGCTAAATGGACTAATTGGAGACATAATTGAGACCTTGGGTAAGTTCCTGTTCTCTTTGGCACAAGCCCTTTAAGAATTGGTTCTCTTAGCTTGGGATTTTGTTAATTGAGTGATTAATCCGAAATTATATCCCAACGTATATGTAGCATGTGTTGAAATTTTCTTACGGTGAACCAAGTTCGATTACTTCGAATATGTTCGTGTTCATATTTTTTGAGCTCTTCCAGATCGACGGAAGGGCAAGGCTTCTCGATATTGAGCAAGCGGTGGTAACTGTGAGTGGACTTTTTTTTTCTTTTTTCTTTTTCCCCATAAAATGGTTTACTTGTATATCTATATACTTACAAATGATTTCTAATGATTTTGACTTATTTGTGATAATGCGGTTTACTGTCGATTATTGTTGATCTTGATACTTGAGAATTGTGGTTTAGTTTTGCAAACTATTGTGGAGATTTGATCTTATTATTGACATTCATTTGGTGTGATATTGGTCTTATGAGATAATGGTTTCATTAATAGGCATGATCATGCATTTTCTAACCCATTGAAATGATGATCTTCGACACCACTTGGTATGCTTGCACTCATGTCATGGTACCCTTTTCTGCGGCAGTAGAGTAAATTATTGCCATGACATTCATTATGGGTTAAAGTCTCACGGTTGGGTTAGAGTCCCAACTCCATTGTTATTTTGGGTTAGAGTCGCAACTCATTTATTGGGTTCAAGTCCCAGCGTTTTGTGTTAACGTCCCGGCTAGGTACATATAAATGGGTTCGAGTCTCGACATGGGCATATGTGTTTGCTTTTCCATTGGGGGACTTATTGTGATTTGGATTACTATGCTTACGGAGACTCCTTATACCGTGATGTTGATTTACTGGTTTTGAAATCCATGGTTATTTATACAGTTTTGAGATTTATCTATGTATCTATATGTAGTATGGATTTTACACTACGGATTTTCAGCAAGGGGGTTAGTATGTTCAAAAAGAGAAATTTTTTGAAAACTTTCCTTTTGTCCACTCACACTCTTCTTGTTTTGCGTCCCCTTCAAGACCTAGTAGCGGTTATTGTATCGACGTCGAGGATTAGCGGGCAGTTCTGCCATACTCTCGAAAATGTAGAGAGACTTATCCTTGTTGTAGGACCTTTTTTTTTTTTGAGGGAAAGGAAACTTTTATAAAAAGGCACAAAAGCCAGAGCAAGGACTCCTTGTTGTAGGACCTAGTAGTAAATCCATCTGCGCATGGATAGAACATCTAGACTTTCTTTTGAGAATTTAGGCTTCCGCATGCACATTAGCACTCATGAATTGAACTATGAACATGCTTGTAGTGGAGGGTCTGCGACCCATTAGGTGTGGCCATTCGGGATGTTCTGTTGTTAAACAATTGTGAACTTTATGGAGGTTGGTTTTAATCACTTTTTACTGCAAAATATGCCAATTTTTAGTAATGCCCTACTTTGAATTTATAGTTGCACATCATTTATGCATGTTTTGGCTTGCGTCACCTTACAAGTGTCGGCCAACATGATATGATCTAGCTTTTTATTTGAATATCTGGGTTGGGGTGTGTCATAAGTTATATATGGTACAATGTATAGTCCATTAACACTAGTTTTGAGGGGAGTTGAGCAAATGTGGTGTCATTAACTAATGGAAAATTGTCTGCAATAAGTGTAGGTTTTTAACATTGTTCAACGTTTACAAGTGTTGATGTCAAATTGTGGATCGACTTAGAATGGGGAAGTCAACCTTTGCAAGGTTGTTTTGGTCGTTTAGCAATAGTGCTCGTTAATCTTTTCTTAACAATTTTCGAGCATAAAATAATATTTTGAAAACTCGGCTATTTTTTAAAATTTTAAAATTATATTGTTTTTAATATTAATTATACCGTATATACGTATAGAAAATGTGTACAATAAAATGTAAATTTTATGTATTATTAATTATATATGTAGGTAATGTGTATTACATGTTAAAATATGAACGTGCGTGTATTGTATCTTGGAGATTTAAAAAAATTCATGTGATTTAATGACTAATTAAGTCGCGTACGGACAATTGTAGTATTTTTAAGAAATATGTGAGAAATATGTACGTATATAATACACGTGTATTCGAATTTTGCTAACTATGGTAGCAAAAGCATTGACAAATTCGGGATTGGTAATCAAGGCACCCACCAAAAAGCACCCAACAATTAAAAGCATATTTGCAATGATTCCGAGTTGATCTAAGAACTGACTTAGACATTTTATGCCCCACTTTTTTGGGATGAGGATCCTTTTTGGATTTTCTTTGTGCATCAGAACGGTTCATCGTACATTGTATGGTTAGTTTTCGTTAGATACTATTTGTGTTTAATTTTAAATAAATAAATTCAAAATGATTTCTGATCACACGATGTACGATAAACGGTTAGGATTTTGGATCCCCACAACTTGGATCCGGATGGGATCCAAACCCACTTTTTTTGGTTAACTTGAGAGTCCCAAAGTTGGTTTTGCCTTTATGTAGTTATAATTGTCAATGAGCACAAAAAATACAAGAAATAAAACACTTGGCGACCAAGAAATCCTATTTAGGAAATACAACATTCATTAAGGATAAATAAGTTAATAAATAATATTTCAAATAGGTATTGAAATAAACCTCATATTGTAATAAGTTATAATTTTTCTTGGTCCCATCTTAAGGAAACATGTCTCCACAGCATTATAATTGTCAATGAGTACAAAAATATGCAAGAAATAAAATACTTGGCGTCCAAGGAATCCTATATAGGAAATACAACATTCATAATAAGTCAATAAATAAACTTTTTAATTACACATCTATTAGGTAATAACCTCCTTGAAGTTATAAAATTGGTTTGGTCCCGGCTGGTGTTTCCGTCATCCATCGATAAGCCGCATAAATGACTAGAACTTGTTCCCTTTTCTGAGTTGCATTTTGTCTACCGCCTTGGGCTTTTCTTCTTGTTGGGGGAAGTTCAGCTCTTCATCTTAGTTGCTCCAGAAGCCTAGAAATCAGAACCAAGCCAAGATGAATAAACCTAACTGAGAAATACCTAATTGAGAAATACCTCCATGTTCAGTACATCTACAGGCTACATCATAGTACCTTACTGAAAATATTACTGACTTATTTGTTTAATACACCAGAAAATGAATAAACCTAACTGTAAAAATCAAAAGTGAAAGAAAAAACTAGGTATCCTTAGGATAGAGGAGCACGTTGTGAGGCAATACGTATTATTGTGCAATGATTTGGAAGATTTGTTGTTTAATTAGTTGTTCAAATATCATTCTTGCAAAGGATAAGACAAATGTATTAATTCTGTTTATATAAGAAATTTTTATTAGCACTTCATAAAAATAATACTGCATTTCTTGCTCTGATTTTTTTTTTTCACTATACAATAGTCAATAATTTCCCGAAAAGAAAATAATAAACATAAAATAAATTATTAATGAATTTTTGCTTTGTTGTCCTCTTCCGTTCACTGATTATACATGCAGGGAGCTGAGCTTATAGAAGCTAACAAGCGACTAAGACAGAGGGTAAGCAACTACCATCTATATTTTTTTTCTTCTTTTTTTTATTTAATGAAAAACAGTCACTCTTAATTAAAAAATTAAATCTGGACGATTTTTTTCTTTTTTGTTTTTGCGTGGCATGGTGATGCTATCGCCGGAGGAGATATCGGATCTGCGGCGAAGATGACTGCTCCGATTTCTTGTTTCTCAAACTGGGGTTAGGCACTTAACTTGCTAATATATATGCTATTTGCTTTTGAATTTTAGCTTTAGCTTTTTGCTTATTTGATGGTATGACTGCAAAGAATAAAGTTAGTAAAATACTAAGGAACTGTGTAAATAAGGGATATTTTGCTGTCCTCGTGCGGAGGGTTTGCTTACTAATCATGGGCGGTTGTTCTCTCAAGCTGATTCATTTCAGCATGATAAGGTCGAATTTCACACATTACCAATTTTAAAAACTTCAATTTTCTTTTCTGTTAAGAACATTTACGGAAGGTCTTAAAAAAATTCAAATTAATAGTTGCAATTTTTAACTCTTTATAAATAGTCACATACATTCCAAAGAGACATTCAATTATTATACATAGGGGAACCCCCTATGGTCACTAAATAACTCTTCATTGTTTATATAATCATACATAGATGGCACTAAATATTAGAGAGTCGTATTGAGTTCATATGAGAGAATTTTCAACACAATCACGGTTTATTGGAGCCTTGTGATTTGGAGTGCTGGTATTACAAAGACATGGTCGTTGTATCCCGTGAGACAAGCATCGATTAACTATGAGCACCGTAGTAGAGCCTTAACTTATCTTAAGGACAAAATGTCAAATATTTCCCTCGACCAGTTTTAAGGTTTTTTTTAATCCATTATGTTATGTTCATTAAACATTTAGTTGACCATGTGCATGATTTAAATTGTGTATTTACTTGTATATTACTTTATGAATTTTATATGTGATTAATATAGCAATTAGACCCTAACCTTTCACCAATTTTAAGACAAACTTATTGGTTTTTTGTTTATTTGCTATACGTGATTCACAAACTTCTTAATTTAAGAAACTTAGTTTCGTTTCTTTATGACAATCAGTTATATATATATATTCATTTAGTAGATGAATGAATTGCCATTTGATTGAAATGTTACACTGTTTAGTTATATGAATGCCGCTTTGCATACATTTGATGGGTTTGCATAGTGTGCAGTATACGTATGTCTTACGATAGTTTGGATTGGTGTTTTTGACATAGTTTTGAACCAATGAATAATTGTTCAAAAAACTGATTCAGAGGGTTTCATCATAATTCATTCATTTGGGCAATGGATCATTTTGTTTTTGCATGTCAAAGTTAATAAACTGTTAAGGTTTTAACTTTTGGTTGAAAGTTTGATCATTCATATAGAAAAGCAGGATCACTTTGTATGGATCATTCGGTCCTTTTCCAGGCTGTAACTATTCGGTTACAGAGATGGTGTTGTTTGGGAAGAACTCTGTTGTTTCAGGGTTCTGTGAACATCCACTAGAACAAGTAGGGCAATTCAATAATGCAATGATGCATTCCTTACGAACGGCCATTTTGTTTCGGAACGAAAGTTAAGTTGTTTTGTTTTGGATGTATGTTACTTTAGCTCAACAGTGGCATCATTTGGCTTTGTTATTTGAGTAGATGCACGTATATCAGGGTGAAAAGCCATGAATATGATCTTTGTTGCATAAACAGCAAAGACTTACACAAATGCTTGAAGCGGTGCTTCATGCATATAGTTGTTCTGATGTAACAGACAAAGCAAGCAGAAATATGACAATAGTCATAGAGTGTCTTGTCTTTGTATATATATGTTAGCTATGGGAAAGTCAATGAATGGACTTTGCGTTGTGGCAAACATAAGTAGGTGCAGTTCTAGTCAAATAAAGATTTGAACTCACTTTAGATGAGTTCTTAGTCAATGCCTACGTTGAAAGAATTAAGCAATCTAAAGCAAGGCGCTAGCCATGAGACATGAAGTTCAAAGTGCTAAGAACCATGAAGGTAGGCTAAAAGACATAGGCACAAGTGAAGATAGATAACCTATCTTTCACATCTTCTTACTTCTAAAAGTTTGAAAGTGAATTATTGATGGTTTCAAAGCAAACGTAGCGGAAGGGGATTGTGGGGTAACTAGCTATCTTTATGAGTTGATATAAACGATACATTTTGTTAGTTTAAATGTTAAATTTACAACTAGTACTGTTCAAGGTAATGAAAGATTAGAGACTTTTCAATAAATACTTCAAATGTGGGGGAGTTACCTGAGTGTTAGCAAATTACTTAGTAATTAAGTCTCAATATATGTTTGAAGGACTTAACATCGGAAAACAACTCTCAAACAAAATTTATTTCCCCACATGAATGAGTTTTGTGATGGCCATTACTAAAATGTGGACTAGAGAGCAAGTTGTATTCTTGAGGGAATGGGTTAAAAGCTCTTAATTAGAGTAGTCATAGTGGAAACCCAACCTAATTTACTGGAGATCCCAAGATAGGTTCAAAAGGGACAAGTAAATTATGACAACTCAGAGTAGCACGGTAGATATATACTCTCGTACCCATGTCCCGCAATGATAACAATGTTGTTTGCCATTGAGATTAGGTTAAACTTTATGTTTTCAATGATTCTTATAGCTTGGAAGACTTAGAAGTCCAAGTAGGGTATTGCATGATACTGTTAATGAGAAGTCACCTATCTTGAGTGAGGAATGGGGCTGAAGAGGACTTAATTCTCTAGAGCGCTCATAATAAATTAACCAGGATTTTTTTCAGGGACGAAGCGAACACAACAGAGCAACCACGAGGGTGTTTGGAAGGGTATTGTGTGATTATTATTGTCTTGGTTTGCACAAATGGCAAAGTTGTTCAAGACATCACATTTACCGATTAGCCAAGTAAATTTGATAGTAATTCACAACGGAAGGTTCAAAGCTAAAAACTACCTATCTCGATGCAATACTCTTCCTATTGAATCTCTCCCTAATGTTGCATATGAAAATTAAAGAACGTGGAAGTTGATGATTGTTTTATTACTTATATGTTGATAAATGTGTTTATTTTTATCGGTGACACATCATTTAACTTGCAAATTTAGTTTTGATCTTCCTAATATTATCAATAATTTTTTTTTTAATTTGAGTCAATGCATATGATGACATGGCATGTGGTCAAAGGACTAAAGTCAAGTTTTAATCTTACGTAAGGCATTAATTGAAAAGTAATATTTTATTAAGAATTAGAGTAGAGTGAGGACCCTTGCCAGATTTTTTTTGTGAGGATTGCATGAATCTTTAAATTATATCCGTTTATCGTACATCGTAGGTTAGAAATTATTATAAATTCTTTTATTTAAAATTGAATATAAACAGTACTTGACGAAAATTGATCTCACGATGTATGATGAACGGATGTGATATGAGGATACCCGAGATCCTCACAAAGAGCATCGGATCCTCACTCTTAAATATGCATGCAGCAGCAGGGTTGGCCTCTGGGGCTAATACGTGCAAGTACTTGTTGGGTAATGACTCCAACTTACAGTTCAACTTCCATTGAAGTGCTAAGTTTTCACTTGACAGATTAGATTAATTAGTTGGAGAAAGAAAACAAGATTCGAGGATAACACCGCAAGTTGATCATCAGGTAATTATAATTGATCGACTTGTGAGAATATGAACTGCAAAAGTTATAAAAAATGGTGGAATGCAAGACTTGGCCGTGCGAATTTATTCTGCTCTAAGTGAATACAGGTGCCCATGGTTATCCCTCGGATAATGGAGCACATAGATTCTGAGGCTTAATGCGTATTATTGTGCAATGATCCGGCTGATACGTGACGATCACCATTATTAATGTAGTAAATAAAGTTGAGTTATTGGAAAACATGTGCTTGCTCTAGAACAACCATTTCTGTAATTCCTTCAAACAAAGTTCAACACATTACATTCACAGCTTGGAATTGACACATGTCACTCTGGTAAAACATAAAATCACTCGTCCTTAATTTTGTCCAATAATAAATTAATACATATTTTATTGTTTAAAAAAATAATGAACGTGTTATTAATTTTTCTTAAGTTTTAAAATATAGAACGTAATATTTTTTATTGAACCATATCAAGAAAGTGAATACATAGAATACTCACCAACGAGTACTTAATCATTATCCTTAAAACAAACCAACGCCTAAACAAAATGGAGATTCAGTCACATGAAGAGATTGCAGAGAAGAGGAAGGGAGGAATAGAAGTACTGACCATAATTTATTTATTTAAAAATAAATAATAAAAGCATATGAAGAGATTGCACTGCAGGGAAGACGAGAGGGCCGGCCGGGATGGCAACGGTGGAAGAGGATTTGGCCGATGGTGGATGGCAAGTGTTGCAGCGATTGCTGCTACCGCTGCTTTTAGGATAAAGAAGTAAGAGAGACGAAGTGGGTGTGACGACACCTAAAAAGAATTAAACCGAGAATCCCCACTCAGTTAGATATGAACAAATCTAAGAGATTCCATATTTTTACCGTCGTCCATTCCACATATATTATGAACGGCAGTGATCGCATTCATCACTCATCACACCAACTGATTTGCGTTCCACGTTTCTTACCTTAAAAATATCTAAAAATAGGAAAGAGAAACAAACAGTGGATATTAAAGCGAGATATGTCTTATTTTTCTATAAATAGGAAATTTAATTTACCAACCTTTCCTTTCTGGAACAACCGGCAGCACGCGAACTCTCTCTCTCCTCTCCATTCTTCTCCTTCCAAAATTTCTTTGGTTTCCTTTCACTGCTCTGCAAATTTCCCAAAACTTCAGACCTGAAACTCCCCGACGAAGGTAAACAAATAACAACGGAAAACCCAGTAACTAATTATGTATGGTTTTATTTTATTTTATTTTTTCTTCTTCTTTGATTGGTGGTAAATCCAAAATACTTTAGGCTTGTTGGGCAGTTGTTTGTGGTTGGTGGGTTTTTCTGGGTTTAGATTTTCTTAATTAGATCTGAGATGCTAGGGTTTGAGGTCAATATCTTTAAACTTATAAAAATAATCACAAAATATATGGTAGTTTTTGAGTTTGTGAACAGTTATATATGTGAAAAGTGCATGGTTGGTTTATTTTTATTTATTTGAATTAATTGTTTTTGAAGGGGTAGGAAGAAATGGTGAAAATAAGGAAAGAGAAGATCAAGATCAGGAGGATCGACTACTTGCCGGCAAGGCAGGTGACCTTCTCAAAGAGGAGAAGAGGGATTTTCAAGAAAGCTGAAGAGCTGTCGATTCTGTGTGAATCTGAAGTTGCTGTTATCATCTTTTCTCAAACTGGCAAGCTCTTTGATTTCTCAAGCTCCAGGTACCGATACTACTGTACAACATCCCACCGCCTTCTAAATTCTTTTGTAATTTTCCTAGCTTGAACGAATATAACCAAGTACATGACTTGACTTCTATCTAAGAGGGAGAGATTCAGCAGGGTCAAACAATTGGGGAGAAAAATGTGTCACAGATTCGTCGACTATATATATTGTAGTGATATGTACACTTATTTTTACTTCTCAACACTCTCTCAATTTTCAGCTTTTAGGTCAAATGAATTGAAGAAGATCAACGATAAAAAATTAATAAAAATGTGAAAAGTAAAAATGAGTGTGCAAATAACACTACATATCTAAAACGAGTGTGTCAGCTAGATAAGGCACAGAAGAATGGTTAGAAAATCCAAAATCTTTCAGAGAGAGTGAGAGTTTTAACTGTTACGAGGATATAACTATATATCTAAAATATCCAGTTCAAGAAAGTGAGGTATACTTTTGATTGAGACAACTTCTAGCTGGGTGTCCAAGTTTGAGAAACATTTTATTAGTTTTACATGTTTTCAATCTTTGAAGTTGTGGGGATTATTTGTACGTTACTTGGTGATGCTGATCTCTTTGCTTATGCTACATGCAATCGTGTCTACCACGCAGAACTTTGTATATATAAGAGCCTAGTTAATTATGTAATCATATTACGATTGTGCAGTTTAATGGTTAGAAAATGCTAGAAAAAGTATATTTTTAGACCATACTTTTTTTATCATATGTGACGGTTAATGATCGGATAATAATATACAAAATTAGTTGGGGTTTATGAAATGAAAAAAATATATATCCTTTTAAATGTGTGTACACCGTTTCCCTTTTTAGACAGGCAATATATATTTTTCTTAGACCATCATTCTTACTGAAATTTAGATAATCAATTTTAAGTAAATAATACAACATAAAATGATAGATAAAATACTCTAGCTAGTAAAAGAGTGTATCACTCTCTACATACGATATACATATCAATATGTATATCCATGCCAACTTCAACACATGATGTTGGGTTATGTTCCAAAAGTTGTCCTTCATTCTCCTCTCCTAAAGTAAAATGCCTGTAAATAATGAATACGGATAATTTGTAAGGACTTCAAATACAAACATTCAATTATACATGCTTTGGATTTCTTACTAGGAGTAAAGTGATATGATGAAAACATGGGAATTCATCATAGAAGCCTTGAAGATCCTTTGAGAAGGAATATGTATGCATGCGTCAAGTAGGGCAATGAGTGGTTCAGCCATGGCCATATATAACCTGTTTTTTCATATGCATTCATGAAATAATGAACGAACTTGAGTAGTTGCAAAGATTAAAACCTACTTCCTTAAATAATGTGCATGACAGGAAGGGAGAGATTAATATGTAGAAATGTAATTGTGGAATAAGAATTTAGATAAAGTCGTTCTTTGTTTATGTTAGGGAAAAAAAATGTCGCTCCACATAGTAAGCAATGATGTCATTTTTATTAATAAAACTGAAACACCACTTCTCAAGTGATCGTTTTAACTTGAGATATAGGATTTAGTATATCAATTTGTCATTTGAAATCAACGTGTATATAAAAGATGCCCTTATTGTATGCTGGTGTCTTTTAACTCATCTATTGTGTTGATGAAAATTCTTCTGAAGCTAGATTCTAAGAAGCCAATACATCTTTTTGGTAGAGAGTGAATTAGCGCTTTGTCATCTAGATCTTTCTACTTTTACTATTTATTCTTTACCCATACTCTCTCCAAGCCGAATACATCAATAAGGAATCGTCGCGTATTAGGGCCCACATACTCCCACATGTAGAGGGCCCTTCTATGCGACCAAAGAATGCATACCATCGGCAGTTCCAGTTGACCTCATTGCCTTGTTTGACTATGACGAACAGCTGGAAGAGGGACATCATCCATGTCAACTTGATTAAGTTGTGGTCATCCCCACCTGATAACCAAGGTGAGTTGACCTCGTTCCCTATGTTTGGAATTGGACAGGCCATAGGAAGTGAGAAGCTGATCATCATGTCAGCTCGACTAAGTTGGGTCGCCCCCAAAAGACCTGAGCCGAGTTGCTCTTGTTCTCGTTGTTGATTAGTCGTGCAACGAAAGGTCAAAGCTTTTGTTTTCCTAACCATAAAGCCCTTAACACTCCATCACCCTTTAAGATGCCAGATGTCGATTAGATATGGTCTGGTATTGAAGAAATTATTAAGTAGTAATGTACTACAAATGAGGATCCTCTCAGGATCCTTTTTGTGAGGATCTTGAAGATCCTTAAATGGTGTTCATTTATCGTATATCGTGCAATCATATATCATTTTAAATACGTTCATTTTAAATTAAAGATGAATAGTATCTGATGAAAACTGATCGCACGATATACGATGAATGGACACGATTTGAGTATCTGGAGGGAATCTTCCCGGCTGTACTACCACGCCATTTGTGATACTCCTATTCAAAATTTGACATGTGAACCACTTCATTCGCAGTTGGACTTTATATTTTATTTTAAGAATTAAAAATAAAGTAAATACTTGAAAAAGAGAATACCTAGTGACCGGCCTCCGTTTCCCACAAATATCAATTGCAGTTCTCCACCTCCACGACTCCATTCCTACTTGTTTACCATTGGTTTCCATGGCTATCGACCCTTTTTTTTTTCTTCCACTCAATACAACTCGCAATTGATGAGAGATTAATAGTGAACGTTAACGTAAATTTGGAGAGTTTAACAAAGATCAGTATGGTCGGCTTTTAGTGGGCTCAAGGTTGAAATGATAAGAACAACAAGATTTAAGTGGTTCATCTCTTTAAACTGGGCTACGTCCAATGGGGTGCTCAGACAAGGTTACAAATAAGCTCGAAGTAATCCAGTAGTCTTTTTTTTCTCTCTTTTTGTTCGACCTGTTCTCAGTGGCATTCATCTCCCTTATATAGATCCTCAATGAGCCTGAAGTCTTTGTGTTTGAGTCTTCCACCGCTTTGCATTTAATGCATTGAATATGTAGACATGAACTGCTAGTTGTCCATCCGTCCTTTAGTCGACACATGGTGGCGATGTGACACTCGTTCAGGTCCACTTGCATGTTTTCTAGAGACAATGCATACCAAGCACCTGCTCAGCGCTGGGGTTTGTGAGGACCTTATGATCGTGCTTGATCTGTCAGCTTTTATGTCTCTTCATAGGCTTTCTCTTTTGTCAATAGCCACCACATGGCATGGAGTTGATGCCCGAGCAGGCCCGACCGTTGGACATTGTGCTATAAAGTTGTCAGGATGTCAACTCGCTCGAGTAGGCCCGACCCTTGGACTTTGTGCTTGGCTTTGTTGCTGGCAGGCAAACTAGACCGCCGACCGATCGTCTGCAGTGCTTGGGATCATCCTTCCTGCTTTTGTTGGGCCTTGGTCTTCCTTCCTTTGGGTCTTTGTCTTCCTTTCTTCACTTGGTTTCTCTTCCTTGTGCATGTGTTCCTTTGGGCTTCTAGGGGTCAGAAATCACTCAGCAAGTGAACTTCAATCGATTAATCATTTTTGGTGCCTTTGTGGGTGTCAGTAGTTTAATGGGTTTTGATTATTTTAGATGAATTTTGTTAGTTGATGGGGAACTGAAATATTTGATAATGGAGGCACTAAAATTGGGTAAATCTACTGGCTTTATGTTGTTTATGGATGGCGTGGTAGTATGATATTACCGAATAATTCTTTAGATAAATGGTAATGTTAAGAAGATCAAATTTTTTAAACTAAATGATGTGGTTGTTTATGATTATATTATTACTTAAGCATTGATTAACGTGTTTATTTTTTATTTGTGACATATCATTTGGTTTAAAATTTTGATCTCCTTATCATTACCCTTAGATAAATGTGGTGTATCCATACTCCATCGTTTGTGCCAATAGCTGATGTCAACCAAAATGGTGCCTCAAGGTTGGCAAAGCTATTGTTGACCAGTTAATGCTGTACTTATCAAAATTTTATACCACTTGTGCCACATCTCTAATAAACGAAAGTCTACCAATACATGTGAGTTTCACTTCTATTAAAAAAAATAGTACAAATATGGTATAAAAATATGACAATAATAACATTTTTGTTGATGACTTCTTGTGTTTTCAAGGTTCTAAAAGAAGGTAGGCGTTAGTTGGGTGGCGGGTTAGGGCCTAGCTAGCACCTAGGCGGGGTTTAGGAGGGCGCCTAGGCGGACTAGGCGAATTTAAGTAAATCTATTATATTTCGCGTAAATAAGTGTCTGTTTATATATATAATTTTATCATAAACTACAAAAATAGAATGACATATGTATTATGAAGTATTGGAATATAATGAAAACATGAGGAATAAGCATATGCTCATTTAAGTATTCAACAAGTCTCTTATAATTTATTGAAAAAAATTAAATGCAAATTGAAAGTTTTTTATTTTCTATCTAAGTGAGTCGCAATCTAGGCAGGTACCTAGGTGGGTCTGGACTGGCTAGGCAGACACTTCAGCTGGTCTAGGTGCCATTTCTTAATTTTCAAACGCCTAAGCATTAATCAGGACAGTGACCAGCTACCTAGCACCTAGGCATCGCACCTATCCATCACCTGGATTGAGCCAAGTGGGGATTTTTAGAACAATGATTTTCATTATCCATCACCTGGATTGAGCCACATGTCAACCGGCTGAGGGTTTCCCATGGATATATAAAGCAGCCAGCCACCTCCAAACTGTAGGTTAGGCTTACTTCCTCTCGAACCAATCTCCACTTCTCTCACCTCTTCATCAATCAATCTCCACTTCTCTCACCTCTCCCGTTCTTCTTGTAAAAAGTCTTCTAAATCGAGATTTCCAAGTGGTATACACTTGTCAAATAACTGAACACAACACGAAGTGGATATCACCCATCTAAGGCGAACCATGTTGGCCTTTCAAAAACACGTCTATAAACATTATCTAAACCAACAAAGGAACGAATTGGAAATGCTTTTGTTAATTAAGAAAGAACAAAAAGCTACTTTTGGAGCATGGAAGTCCAAATCCATTATTTATAGCTTTTCCATGATGGGCAAGAGAAAGTGATACTTTCTGATGTCTTTTTAGGCATTAAAAATGAGATATGACTAACGATATACTATCTGATGTCCTTTTATGCATTGAAAATAAAGTATATCTTCTTTCATTTATAAAATGTAAGAAGATTCTAATACTCATTGAAAACAAGTAGTTTTCGACGCTATTTTCCTCATCATAAATACTTTTAACATCTTAATATATATATATATATATAATTTTTTTTTTCTCTTCTTTCTAGCGCCTCGTTTTTACTCACCAGATATGGACACTGGCTCAACCTCTATATCTTAGACGTCTAAGGAGAGGATATTGGTGCAGCAACCATTTCCTATTACTTCAACTGTAGGCGTGGAGGAGGACTTCTCCTAGCTGCAAGAAATATATCCACAACTATAACTACTATATTTTCCTCCATAACCTCAAGTTTTTAAGCTCTCTTGAATAATAAGAATAATCATAATAAAATAGTAATAGTAAAATAATACAATAATAATGATAATAATAATAATTTTTAATTAAAAATACACTGTTTCAAACAAAATGTGTGCCTCGACAGTCTTGCATCAACAGATAGTGAAGACTTGACAATTGTGGAATCAATGATACAAAAAATAACTTTCCTAAGTCCTAAGTTAAGATATATTAGACCAATAATAAAGTGTGCTTAGATTAATCTTGCAACAAGGAAATATAATTCATTTACTTATAATACTAAGGTTGTATTCAGGAAACAACTCATAGGGATCTTTCACCTCTTGGAAAATATAGAAGAAAAACTGTTAGTCTATTAATTCTCATATCCCCAATATGATCCCTCCAAAGTGCATTATGTTTAGGTCTTTTCCAGTAAAGTTGGATGGCTCTAGCTAGATGAACTTGGTAAATCTGAGTAAATCATCAAATCAGTCATTATACTCAAGTAGAGTTATTTTAATGAGTTGATTAGATGTATGTGATTCTCTTTTTTTTTTCTTGTTTTTTTTTGTTGTTGTTAGGCAATGGATGAGATTAAAATTACAAAGTAGAAACTTGAAAACCTTGCCAAGAAAAATAAATGGTCAAAAGTTAGCAAGAATTGTTTGTTTTTATTTTTATTTTTTTATTGCATCGAAAACCTTTTAAAAATATAGTTGATCATTGACAAATTCAGGGTAAAAAAAGACCAATTAAGCAACAAAATGGTACTGCTTGAGTACTTACTAGTATATTATCTTTTTGATTTGGTTCAATTAAAAGATGTTGTGTGCGTATTGTTTTTGAAACTTAAGAAAAATTAAATAGCATGTCTTATTATTTATTTAAGTAAGAATACATGTGTTCAAATATTATTGGGTCAAAACCAAAAGGTGATTCTAGGATACTTAAGTATGAGACAGGATCTTCACTGGACCCTCCAATCACATCCGTTTATCGTACATCATGCTGTTAGTTTTTATCAGGTACTGTTCATATTTAATTTTAAATTTAAAAAATTTACAATAATTTCTGATCGCACGATGTTCGATAAAAAAATGTGATTGAAAGATTCACATGATCCTCATAAAGAGGATCCTCCTGGCTTAAGTATTATCCAAAATAAAGTGGTGACAGAAAATACAACAATTAACGATATTTGCAATGATGCCCGAGTTGATGTGAAACTGACTTAAGACTTTTTAGTCCTACTTTTAGTTAACCTGATAGTCCCATCGTTGGTTTTGCCTTTTTTTGTTGTGTATCCTCAGTTTGGTGACCTCATATATATGTATAAATTCCGACTTGACATTTTGATCTGGGTAACCAGACCAAGCAATAAGGCCTCCAAAATAGCTTTGCCGGTTGGTTTGCAACAGAACCAAATATCTCTAAAGTGATAGTTGTTTTGGCTGGTTAACCTTGAATGAATTATCTACAAATCTATATTAATTGGTTCTTCTGATTTCTTGTTTTCTGGTTGGTAAATTAGTTTAGATGTTATTCTGTTTGCATGCATTTTAAAATGGTTGATTTTATATTAAAAAAAAATATATCAGAAAAGAACAGAGTAAATAACAATCACTTGCAAAACCAAATCCAGCATGCATGTACCAATTTATTGGGCTTATTGAAAAGTGTTTTCAAACCAGAAGCATGGAAATTGGGTAACATGTTTTTTTTTTTTTCCTTGTATTGATTTTTTATCTATGCTTACTGCTTAGTCACACGTATTAATTTAATTTCGTGTGCATTTTTATTTTTTTTGTTTAATTTTTTCTTTCTAAACCTTTATAAAATAATAATGAAGCATGCTAACTACTTTTTTAATCCTTTTATGTTGTGAAGTACCAAGGATGTGATTGCAAGGTACAAATCACATACTGGGGAAAAATCGAATCAATCGATGCTTGATCAGCTGCAGGTAATTCAGTTCAATATGGGTTTTTTTTTCATCTTTGCCCTAAAATTTACATTTTTAATGGTACAACAATTAATTAAGTCAAGTGAATGTAGCATTTTTTGTGATCTGCACTTGGAGCTTCGAAATATTGTTTTACAGCATTTGAACGATCGTATATTGCTTTAACATAAATAAAATAATTACTAGTTAGACTTCTATATGTGCATGCAGCAGGGTTGGCCTCTAAGACTAAATATGTGCAAGTACCTGGGGTTGAGTAATGACTCCAAGTTAGAGTTTTAACAATGGATGTTTTTGGGCCTGATGTTTATAAGCTTTTCATGGGACAGATTAGTTTATAGAAATGACGGTGTAAATATATTTCCCATTTAATTAGTTGGAGAAAGAAAACACGATCAGGCTGAGTAAGGAACTTGAGGATAAGACCCGCAAGCTGAGGTAATTATAATTTATCGATTTGTTTGTAAGATATATGGTGGTTAATTAGCTGGATGATCGTTTGATGAGAGTCTGCCGAAATTGGTTTGGCATGCAACAGGCACCTGAAGGGTGAGGAGCTTCAAGACTTGGACCTGGATGAACTGCAGAAGTTAGAAAAATTGGTGGAAGCAAGCCATGGCCGTGTGATGGAAACTAAGGTCTGTTCTAGCTAGCTAGCTAATTTATTCTGTTACAAGTGAATTCAGGTGTCCCATGGCTTCTAAAATCTAGGTATCTTCAGATAGAGGAGCACATTGTGAGGCTTATTAATTAAGCAATAAAAATCTTCCGGATCATTGCACAATAATATTCTTGCAAAGAGTAGGACAAATGTCTTAATTTTGTTCAAATAGAAAATTTGTTATTAGCATTTTATAAAAGTAAGTGCATTTCTTTCTCTAATTTTTTGCACTATGCATGAGTGAGTCATGACCGAGCTTAATCAAATAAATAGGTCGACACGTTGTACCTCGTACACATTGTTTTAAATCACCGTGTTTAATCAAAAGGTCAATAGGTTTCCAATTGCCTCGTACACATTATATGTATATACAGCACCGTCTAATTCCAAATTTTCCATTTATTTCAGGAAAAAAAGATTATGAGTGAGATTATGGCACTTGCGAAAAAGGTTTATAGTTAAATAGATGATTGTTGTCTGTGTCTATATATGGAATAACCACAAATATTTACAATAGTCAAGAATTTCCTGAAAAGAAAAAAAAAACATTAATTAAATTATTAATGAATTTTTGCTTTGTGGTCCTCTTACTTGTACTGATTATAAATGCAGGGAGATGAGCTTGTAGAAGCTAACAACCAGCTAAAGCAGAGGGTAAGCAACTACCGTCATCTATGAGCTCGTTTGGATATGATTTTAAAATAATTGAAAGCGCTTTTGGTGAAAATATTTTTAAAAACAATCCTTAGTAAAAATGCTAATAAATCTTAGAAAAGCATTTAAAGTGCTTTTGAAACCCAAAAACATTTTCTTTAAAAGCGTTTTTAATCATTTTTAAAACATATCGAAACAAGCCATATATTTCCTCTTCTATTTTTTTTTATTTAATGAAAAAACAATAACTCTTAATTAAAAAATTAAATCTGGGCGATTTTTTTCTTTGTTGTCTTTGCATGGCAGATGGTGATGTTATCCGCCCGAGGAGATATCGGACCGGCGGCGATCATGGAGTTGGAAAACCTGAATAATGGTGGAGAAGAAGGCGTGACATCTGAATCAGCTACAAATGTCACCACCAGCTCCAACAGTCCTCTTTCTCTTGAAGATGACTGCTCCGACATCTTGTCTCTCAAACTGGGGTGTGCCGCTTTAACTTCCTAATATATGCTATTTGCTTGTCTTTTGCTTTTGACTTTTGGCTTGTGCTTATTTGATGCTACGACGAAGAATAAAGTTAGTAAAATACTAGGGGGCTGTGTAGATAACGGATATTTTGCTGTCCTCACGGAGGGTTCATCTCAAACATGATCAGGTCGAAGTTTACACGTTACCAATTTTAAACCTCTAATTTTCTTTTCTTTAATTTAAGTAAAAAAAGCCATTTAGGGAATGTTTTAATAAAAGCTTATCTCCTTCGTGGGGCAAACTTGTGTTCAAAGATACCAATGGGATTGCCACGCCCCTTTCACGTTGATGTAGGTCTTTTGTTTTGTTTCTGTGATTAGCTCAAGTGCTTATCTGGGCTTTGCTGTTTTTTCCTTTTTCCTTTACCTCATGTTTCTTTTGCCGTTTGGCTCCTATCCTCACTGTATCACAAATTCATGATGTTTGTCAAGTATAATTGCACTGCTAGGATGCTTTTATTCTTCAATATCTTAAATGAAATTGCTAATCGTTTTTTGTATTCGGTATTTTCAGGCTACCTTAGTTTCCCTGGTTAAGAAGTGGACACAGATAGGAAGTTGCACTTCCTTATAATTTCTAAATCAAGTCGAGTTATGTAAAATACGAATGATTTGTGTCTTCTAAATAAAGTCGAGTTATTGTAAGATACGAATGATTTGTGTGTCTTTTAATTTTTGTTTTTGTTGGGGGGAGGGGGGGGGGGGGGGAGGTACTGTGACTGTGACTGTATTATATGTAAAACTATATTTGTATTGGTCGAATATAAATTGTATAGTATCTAAAGCTTTATATAAATGCAGGCCTATGAATCTCTAGTTCAGTTCTATGTTTTGTTTTTTGTCCTGTTCAGTTCTGTGTTGTGTTGTGGATTTATTGCGATGGCAGGCTAAAAATTATGAGGGTTTTTTATTTTTAATTTTTTTAATTTTTAATTATGCTTAAATATTCATTTCTCTCCTAAAACATCTGAATTCACTACAAGAAAAATGGCCTTTGGGCACAAAATTAGGGACACAAATGAGGTGTATGTGTTTGTTTAAACATCAATAGGGTGGAACTGCGCTCATTCCGTAATGGGCACCATGTATTGTGCCCAATGTTAAGAGGAATGGACACAATTACATTATTGGGCACATAACAATGACTTTTGTACCTTTAATGTCAGAAATGGAATTTTTTTATTATTTTGCAAAGTAATGACACCATAAATATAATCGTGCCCTATAGTTTAATATATTTAATGTAAATGTGAATTTTTTGTGCCCTTTGTTTAAAATAATGTTTTATACGAAATGAGAAAAGCACTTTCCTCAATCTTCAGTCCTCACTCTCTCCTGGTTTCCTTCCTTCCGCCTGCCTCTCTCTGTGTTTCTCCGTTCAAACCCAGCCTCTCCTCTCTCTCGCTCTCCCTTCCCCAATCGAATCGAGCCTCTCTTCAACCCCAGGCTCTCTCTCTCTCTCTCTCTCTCTCTCTCTTTCTCTCTCTCTCTCTTGCCTCTCATCTCAATTCTTAACTCCAGTTCACATCTCACGCAGAAACATAATTTGCAAATCCTTCCCTTTCAAAGCTCACACACACTGTGAATCGTTGGGTCTCAACTTAAGTTTCTAGTCAAGTTCACATATTCTCAGACTCTGCAAATCCTTCTCCTTCATATAGAATCTGCAAATTAGTCGACCTTAACTCTCATCTCATCCCTAGTTCCCCTTCAGTTTAGTGCCTGCATAATGTGATTCTTTCCCTCCACTTTGTTCCAGGTAAAATGGTGAGAACTTAGAACCTGTATTGGTTAATTTAGTTAATAATTTGTGATTAATTTTAAGGTTAGGTTTCGTTTGAAACAAAAGGGGAACTGAGCTTTTTTCTCTTTTTGGTTATAATCAAAAGGAGATTTGATCTAGTTCAAATTCAAACAAACCCATTTTTGCCTTTCTCAGACTCTGCTGATGGATGCCGTTTGTCAAACCTGGACAATGTCCTTTCCTTTCACTGTTATTTTTTCGGATTTTTTGTGTATTTTGTCCCTTTTTTATTTTTGTTATAATTTTTTGATTTTGTATAATCTTTTTTCAAGTTCTTTGGTCTCTAGTCATTAATTTTGGAAAATTTTTAGTTTTATTGAATTTTTCCATTTTTATTTGAGGTTTACCGTGTGGAATTTTTAATTTGTTCAAAATTTAGAATTCTGATAAGGTTTTTGTAGTAATTTGTGTAGGTTATTTCTGGTTTTTGTATGTGGTTTCTTTTGGTTTTATAGGTGGACTCTATTTAAACAAAATATTTGTTGAAAATTCATTTTTTTCTCAATTACATTGATGGGTTTTTTAAATCATATAGTACTTAATATTTTTAACACGAAGTTTGAGTTTAAATTTATTTATGAATTTAGGATTTTATCTTTGGATTTTTTAGGATCAAAATTTTATTGCTGAGTTTTAGTTTTTTGGATAATCAAAATAGATGGATTTAATTTTAAAGCTTTTTTGATTTGTACATGATTGAATTAAAACGAACTTATCAATGATTTGGGGTTTTTTTAGATATGGAATCTCATGATAAGGAATGATGTTTAACTTATAGCTTAGCAGTTGATGCAGGTTTCCTTTCTATAACCTGTTTTTATGGGGGCCAAAGTTCTTTGTGTTTTAAGTTTTGGTGAAACTGAAAAGGAATTAAGATTATATTTGTGTATGAATTTTGAATAAAGAACTTATTGATGGTTAATAAGTTTTGTTGGGCCTTTTATATGAATGCTTTCATATTTGAACTTATTTAACTGTTATGTGATTTGAGTTAGAATTTTGGTTATTTGAATTGTCCCCAAATGATTTGTATATTTTAAATGACTTTTTTTGTATCTTTTTCTTTTGTATAAATTGGTAACTAAATGGATGTTATTTTTTCCCAATGACTTTGATACCCAATACAGAATATGAAAAACCCAACTTTAACTAATTTGATTTTTTTCCTAAATGAATTTGTTCTAAATGTTGTTATCTGCTCACAGAGTCATCTGATTTACATTTTTTACTAGGGTGATAATGTGCCTCCACCATTCAATTCATTTGAATATACTGGCCTCCCATATGAGATTGAGAGGTATTGAATTATTCTATTTTTGTTTCTTTTGTGTAATACTGGTAGCCTTTAGTGTAAGTTACCCGAGTGTTTTGTGCAAAGTTATGTGATTGCTAGAGGTCCAATGTTGAGTTTCATACTCATGTTAATTCTTTAGCCATCTGCATTTTTATCGTAAGTGCGATGCTGTGCTGCCCTCTTTGTGATTGTCTGTTTTTCTTTTGTTACCCATTACTGTGAATCAATGGTGTGTAAAAGCCCATCCTAGAGTAAAAAGGAGAGCACATCCACCCTCAGTTAGTGGCACTTTTCTATTGTTTATGTACTATTCATCTCCTATCATAGCACTTAGGTGACTTTTGTGTATATTGTATTACATTACATGTGTTAGAACTTGCCACTATTATGCAGCTTTCATATTGCCAGTAATACAATAGCAGAGGCATGCCAAGATCTATTATTTGGTGTCTTTCCCATATTGTATTTACTTTACATACTATCAAAGCAATTAGGTCATACTTTGGTATTGTTTGAGTGTTCAATGCATACGTACATATGTCTTGAGGTTTTACATAATATGAATGCATACATTTGATCTTTGTTATTTTTGTTTTTGAGGGTGTCTGATAGTTTGAAAACCCACAACAGAATGGAGGCAATTTTCTAGTGGAGGAGGCAATTTTGTAAGGTATAACTATTTCTTACTCTATGCTTTATACTAAGATTCCTTATAGGGAAGAAGGGAATGTGGTTAAGTTACATTGCATGAAGAACTTAGGTCCAACGACTGTAGTAGGGGAGGATAGGATTCTGAAGAAGGGCTTGGTTGTAAATATGTGGGATTTGTTGTAAATAACTGAAATACATGTATATTGTGGGATTTGTTGATTTTATGAAAATTTAGAATTTTTTTGTTTTGTTTCAATTTTTTTTCTTTTCAAATTGAACCTATTGGGCACGATTTGAAATTAGTACGCATGATTGTCTATCATCTGACATGTTGTCAAAATTAAGGTACAAAAAGACATCTATTTGTGCTGAACTGTTTGAGCACAAAATGTCATATCATGCCCTTTCATCATTGGTGACACCCATATAGGGCACATACAATATAATAGTAGTTGCACTGTTGCCATTGGTCTATGGGCACATATGTTGGTGCCCTTTGGCCTCAAATGGCACAAATAATTTATTGTGTGCAGTGCCCATTTTTGTTGTAGTGATTAGTCGATACTTAACATCCTCGAGGTTTACATATGTGTTTTATTTTGCATTGTTTTTCTCAACACCGTCCAAGATCAGTCAATTGTGTAACTGATAGGGTTATTAGTTGAGATGTTGATCGAGTTATCCGTGTGATTTTTTGGCCGTGCCCTGAAAAGTTGGTACTTTAACCTCCTTCGAGGTTTACACATGTGTTTCATTTTGCCTTGTTTTGCTCAACATCGTCCAATATTAGTCAATAACATACGTGATATGGTTAGAATTTGACCATGTTGTACGTGTGATCTTGTTGACCGCGCTCTGAAAAGTTGATACTTACCTTCCCCAAGGTTTATATGTGTGTTTCATTTTGCCTTGTTTTTCTCAACATCATCCAAGATCAGTCAATAGCTTGCATGATAGGGTTATTAGTTAAGATTTTGACTATGTTGTAAATGTGGTCTTTTATATTGAGTTCACATCTCTCTTGTTGTGGAAAGAGTTATTCTAGGAATATGATTGTAGAAACATAAAGTAGAATCTAATAAAATTTAGAAGCTTTTTATTCTATTATGACATTTATTACTTGAAATAAAGTAAAACCGTACCTATGATTAATATAAGGGAAATTTTTTGAATTGTCATATGAACTTGTATACACTTTTTAATTTGTCATATAAATTGAAACCTTAAGCAATTTGTCATATCAACTTTTCGAAATCATTAATTTGTGATCTCACCCTAAGTCCATTGTGTTTTCCAACCAATATAAGTCATGACTTGTGTTCAGGGCTATTTTAGTGATTTTAGCATTTCTTTTTCACAAGGTTTTTTATTTTTCCTTAGTACGAACACTTAAATATTGTGTATGAGAGTATTCATGAAGATCAATGTGAACAAAATCTTTGAGAACAAGTATAACGTAGCAGTAGCCCCTTCTGTAGCTTTAGAAACCCTAGAGTTTTTTGTCGAATCCAACTTAATAAAAGGGAAATGAAGTGTTAGAATGACCCAAATAACTCTAAACACAAGTCATGTGCGAGGCACATGTCGTACATGACTTATATTGGATGGAAAACTCAATGGAGTTAGGGTAAGATGACAAACTAATGATTTCGGAAAGTTGGTATGACAAATTACTTAAAATTTTAGTTTATATGACAAATTAAAAATTGTGTACAAGTTCATATGACATTTCAAAAATTTTCCCTTAATATAAATAAAGGCACAAAGCTGAGTGAAAACGCACATCACACAAAAGAATGAGGCTATTACTAGTTATATGCCTTTTTAAGCTTGCAGACATGTGTAAAGTATTTTTTGCTCTTCCATTTGATGTTTATTCCACTTTGCAATGATTGCAATTCCTT